GGTAATGTTATATTATAATATCTATTTTTTTATTTTAAATGGAATTTTGATAAATATCCCATTTTACCTTCTTATTTTTCATATCACACACTTTTTCAAGAAATATTAGAAAAAATGAAATCTTCTTAAATGTCAAGAATAGTAAGTGTAAACGGACTAGATTTGGAAAAAGATTTTAAATGAAATCTACTAGATTTCGTGTATGTGTAAATGGGGTATAAGAAAATTTCAAACATTTTTTAACAAATAGAAAATAAAAATATATTTGAAATATTTTAAATTTTTTAAGGCTTCTAGATTATGTTTGAAAAAATTAAAATTAAAAAATTCATACAATTTAGCAACTTATTCTTAAATATTATAAACTTTTATCAATGAAAGCAGTTCATAATATTTATGGTGAAACTTTTTTCTGTGAACCCAGCAAAAATTTGAAGAATTTAGTTCTATTATTTTCCCAGATAAACAAATTTTTGTATTTAATTCATATGGGAGGTGCCGCTCCCCTCATTGGTAGTCTGCCAATTTATAACCCAAATGTTTACATGGATGTTAATGTTCTTCGTGCAAAATTTTAAGATTCTAATAGTTTCCAAGATAAACGAATTTCAGTATTTAATTTATATGGGAGGTGACCTAAATAATCATATTTACACTAAAGTGGCTCCGACAAAATTTGAGGACTTTAACTGTTGTATTATCTTGGATATACTGATTTAACATTTTCTTTATATGGGCGGGGCTTCTCGCCCACTTGAAATTTCAAAATAAATAATATAGCCTATATAAAAAAAATTTAAACCTTTTCACATCGAAAGTCACAAGAAATACTTGTGCAGGAAGTTTTTTTTACATTACAGCAGTCCGGTTGAAGACCCGATTTTCCTGTAAAGTGATTGGTTTTCCCCTGGCCAACTGACAACAAACGTGTTCGCTCTTAATGAATATCGTTGTTTATAAATAATATCAGAAGTACACATTCCATTGTAACATAGAAACATCTATACCAATAAACAGTTGGCACCAGTGGTTACAGTTGGTATTTACTCAACCCGTATTGTATCTAACTAATTTTTTTACGGGAATAGAAGGACAAAGTTTTATTTCCACTATATTCTGTTCGAACAGAAGTGAGTTATTAGGAACTGATAATAAAAATAAATAAATTTTACTTTGAAATTAGTCGAGATTGTATTTCAAAGTTAGGAAAATGTTTAATTCCCATAGTTTTTGGAAACAGGTATTTTGTTGATTTCTATTTTAAAAAATCATATCATATTTAGTAACGGTTAACGCGAACACTTACAACTGCATGGTAACACTGAATATTTGCGCAATAAGCAACGCTGCAAAATTTTGTATCTTTCTGTAATGTAAAATAAGTTGGCAACGCACTTATATTGAGTAAATTTCTAATCAGAAACCTGCGCCGATTAAGCCTAACCGCCGAACAAAATGTCAAAGCCGCCGTCGAAAATTTTTCAGCTTATGACGGCTTGAAAATTTATTGTATTTTGAATAATATACAGAACAAATTCGCTAAATTTACAAAATTTTACAATATAAAATTTATGTATTTTAATTTAAAGAAGTTTTCTTTTATCTAATATCTTTGAAATTTGGCTGGCGTGTTTCGCCTAAGATATATTAGAATTTATGCGCCTTGAAAGAAGTTTTGTTTAAAGCGTCGGCAGCATCAACCGTCCGGAACCAAAATACATTTATCGCTTGACAAACCGTAAGGGACCAGGACATCAAACATGTGTAAAAAATATAATTAGTTCCACCACTAGTTCTAGAACTCATTTTTTAGTCTGAACTTTTTTTAGTTTGGCTTTGAGACCAATGCTTTTTGTTCGAAATTGTCACCTTCGGAACTGGTTCTGAGGAAGCGTTTTTAGAGCAGTTCTGAAACTAGTTCTTAAATCAATGATATTTGTTCTAATATATACGCTTTATGTAAAATTAGTTTTTTTTTGTTCGAAATTATAATGATTAGGCAAAAATTTGAGAAACAGTTGGGGAATTATTATTGTACCAATTTTATTTAGTGCGTGTGAAAGAAAGAGAAAGAAATATCAACCATCTCTTTCTCTCACACACAAATCAAAAGTTTCCCATAAAAAGTTTGCCTGTGTGAACCGGCACTTAGAAAACACGTACATATCGTCATATGAAATCCAAAAAGCCCTAAGTTACTTTCGACTTTTGACTGATTTTGATGTACCGTATAAAAATACATGTTCCTGCTAAACTTCTACACTAAAAATAACGTCTCTATCGAAGAATTTCTAAATGATTATGTTCTAGAAATACATTAAAATTTATGAAAAATTGCAAATTCTTTTGAAATATTTTTAAAGAAAAATTCCAATTTTCGAAAATCTTTATAAAAAACAAAGAAGCCTTATTCCTGTCAAGTTTCGGACTATTTGAGCAACAAAAACTGCTTTGAATTTAGTTTAAAATGTTGAGCCTTACTATTTTTTTATGTAACTTACGCCCTTTTGGATTTCAGAAAAAACTTTGGCTCAAGGGCGTAAGTTTCATATCTCCGTAAGTAAAACACAAACTACAAATTTTTCTTCAAATAGTAATATGTAAATAAAAAAGCTTAACGTGAGAAAATGTGGAAAATGTTTGGTTTATTTATAATATTAGAAGGTTGTTTGCTTCTCCTGAAAAAATTGTTTAATGTAATTAGGCTTTTTGCTTTGTTTAATGTAACTTAGCCTTTTTGCTTTTCATATGACGATATGTACACACTAATGAAAAATTCATAATTATTGTGTCACACCATTAGTCTGTTAAAATATTTACAGGATATACGAATCCAGCAGATAACTGTCCATTCTCCCAGAATAATTCAATTGGGGATATCTTCGATTCCTTATAGTTCAGTTTATGCAGAAATATACATACATATGAATGCGATAACTGTCCATTCTCCCAGAATAATTCAATTGGGGATCTCTTCGATTCCTTATAGTTCAGTTTATGCAGAAATATACATACATATGTACATATGAATGCGATAACTGTCCATTCTCCCAGAATAATTCAATTGGGGATCTCTTCGATTCCTTATAGTTCAGTTTATGCAGAAATATACATACATATGTACTATGCTTCGTTTCAAAAAATAAAATGTTTCCCGTTTTTGTGATATCACAACTTTTTAGAAGGTTTTTGCATCAGTAATTACTATGCTGTAATAATTTTTTCAAAATTCCAACTCCTTCCTCTGCACAGAAACTGTAGAATTTATAGGAAATCATGCTTTAATAATTGATTTTATAGGAAAAATCAATAAGAATGAGCTTAATTTCACACTTTTATAATGCTTCAAAAGTGCATTTAGTATTATCCAAAGATGCACTTTTTTCAAAAAATATTTCAAAAAATGTTTTTCTTTGTGCATAATCAAAGTATGCTTTTTGCTGAGACAAATGGTGCAAAAACAAAAATTTTATCATTAACCCTTTAGATGTGATGAGACTTTAAATTTTGAGATTTTAAACTTTACAACGCTATATTTCGAAAACCACGAAAGTTATAAGGCCCTAAATTTGTCATTATACAAGTTATATATGGAACATTAATTGGATGGAGTTTTATTAAATTCGGAGATGATGATGAAAAACACCATTGTTTAATGGGAAATTATTAAACCACAAGCCAACATTATAACCATCATAACTCCTAAAGGGATTACAATAAATTAAAAATTTTAACACTATTTTTTTAAGGGCATTGAATATTATATTTACGAATGATAAAATCAGGTTTTGATTTTTTTTTTTTTTTTTTAATTGCATATTTTCTTTTGCTCTTATGCATTTATAGTGCATCTAAATTCTGTCAAATTAAGTTTATATATCTTAAATTTTCCTGTAGAATAGTATACTAAAGTCAGATTTGAAATATATACAGCAGTTTTCGGACTATAAAAAAATGTCGCCCAAAATCGGTATTTTGGCCGCAGATATGCAGATGAAGGAGTTGAAATTTTAACAAAATAATTACGCCAATATTAGCGCTGTTCCAAAAACTGTCATAAAAGGTATGATATCACAATTTCAAAAAAATATTGCGTGAATCCTAATATGTACATATGAATGCGATTTCAATTTCGATAAAAATATGAATTATGAATTTTTAACTTTTAAAATTTTTTTTAAACTGATTCTAAGAAGTTTCGGAACTAGTATACGTTCCATGGAACTAGTGTATAATGCCTTTAGGATGGCCTCTTTGGGAACTACTGGCTGCCATGTTATCGCCAACCGCTATTGAAAATAAATTAATTTTTGTCATCTCGTACTCATCTAATCCGTATTATCTACATGGCGCTCTTCTTGCAGATACGGCTGTTAAAGTTTTTTGCTTTAAAAATGTGACAGGCGAGTTCTGTTGAATACTTTTGCTGGGAAGATTGTAAATTAAGAAATTGTTAGTAATGTTGCGCTATTTCATGGCAGAACTATTATGCCATGCATTATTCTTGCGTTTACGGAAAATACTTTATTTTTGTTAATAATGCTCGAAAAACAAATGTTATAAATGCTCTAAATTTTAGAGTCTAAAATATTTTATTCCCTAAACTTTTGAAGACTTAACAATTTTTTAAACTCATTCCCTTTGTTATTAATAATTAATTCTTAAATCTTTTGATGTAGTTAAATGAATTCTCACAAAGGTGAAGGGTATACAATTGAAGAGTTGAAATAAAAATAGTTCTCGTGAGTTTAAAAACAAATCTCGTGGAAATGAGTTGTATAACGAGAGAAATGTATAAAATAGTATTACAAAAACATTTTTTAAATATTTTCTTTCAAAATTCCACTTTTTAATCTCTCGGATTCCCCTTCTAATTATTTCAAATCGTTTAAAATAACTGAAACTTAGACGGATTCCAGTCGATTTAAAGCCGCCGCCGACATTTTTAGTGTCAGTCGCCGCCGCCTCCGTTAAATTTGTCGGCACAGGGCTCTGTTTCTAATTATTGAAAAATCAAAACGAATTTTTTTGTTGTGTGACGAGAATAAATTTATAAGTTTGGTGTTTGACGTTGTAAACAAATTTGCATGTTTTTGTGAAATGTTAAATATAATAAACAAGAACAATTCGCAAGTAATTCCTAACAGACTGAAACGAAATACACAAGTTAAAGAAAGAAATTATTATTTATAAAATTCATTTGCGCCTGAACTAAAAAGGGCATTTTATTATACACAATCCAATCAGAAGGAAAATTAAAAGAAAAACAAAAGGCGCATTATAACAAAGTTGAGTGTATGCGAAATAGTGGAGGAATGCAATAAAACCAATACCTAAAAGATATATGAATTGCACAATTACAAAAAACCAAAAAAAAAAAGAAGAAAATGCGAAAAAATTAAACAAAGAAAAAAGAAATAAAATAGTATTAATTGGAATATTTACAGAAAATCTAAATAAATTTTATCTAAAGACTGAGTAGTGATGCGCCTTTTGGCTGTGGAGACTGAGTATTAAACAACTTTTAAATAACGATTAACCAAGAAAAGGAAAAAACAAACTAATTGTGTCGTCAATCCGGAAATGAGATTTCTTCCGGTCGCTGACATCTAGTAATAGCATAAAATTATATGTATGTATGTACATATGTAAGACTACGTCACGTTGTAGTCCCTCAAAGTGAAGAGCAAGGTAAATAAATAAACAAACAAAAAGCTGATAACAAGAAATAAAATAAAAAATAGACAAAGAAGGAAACCATCCCTGCTAAGCAAACGTCCTTAGAAAACAAAATAAAAAGCAAACAGTGATTTAATGCTTTCATACGTTATACCTGCTCAGGAAACAACGGCTTCAAATGGTCGTCCAATGAGTGAAAACGGCAGTGTTAGACAACAAGTGCCTTCTCCACCACGAAATTTAAGTTTACGACTGAATTCATCCTATAACACTGGTGGCAGTGCGATCAGTGGTGTAAGTGCAGGTGGAGGAGAGCAGTATTCAATGCACCAGCAACAGCAACCAACAGAGGTTGATGCTCTACTGGCAAATGTGGCCGAATCCTGCGATGAACGCACCCATTTGTTAAACGACGATGCAAATCCTACACCACCTCCACGTATTAAACGCCAGAATAGCAACACTAGCAACAGCAATAACAACAACTCGTTCAGCTTGAATAACAATGCCAACAATGACAGAAGTTGTAGTGCTTTAGATCGCCGCGATGGCTGCGATGACGTTGTCAATGTAAATGTTAGCATTGATAATGACGAATTGTTCTCAGATGATGCTGTTACCGCAAACGAAATGACAGTGAATGCTTTAGATTCCGATATAAGTGATAGACAGTCATTGCATCAGAACACCTCCTCAAATCCCCGCCTAACGATGACAACAACAACTAAAAAACAAAAACTAAGCAAATTGGGTTCAAATAAAACAGTCGGTTTAAAAAGGTTTGTTTAGCATTTTGTTTTTTTACAATATTTGTCACATCAAATATTTATTCACATACTTATTTATGAATGCTTGCATTTACGAGTTCATGTTTGTACAAGTTCTAATGCCACAGCACAATTATTTACATTACTCGTATATGGTACATACACATGTGAAACGAAAAATAGGTGATGTCATGACGTTTCCATTGGAGTTTTACGATGGTATTTGGTAAATTTTATATGTAATACCATCGTCACTCCAAGGGATAATTTAACTAAATTAGTCTGAATGCTACCGAAATTGAAGAACTATTTACCTATCTTTTATATGGATCCTAAAGTTTGTGTTCAATTAATATAATTTTGTAGATTTTCACTAATTCCAACACTAAAAACAATTTCAAAAAACTAAATTTCAGACCTTTTCATGCCTATATGTATTTCTATCCTCATTATTATTTTAGAGCAGTTATTCATATAGAATAAATTTATACAAATTCTTTAAAAAACTTTAAAATAGAATTTAATCCCACAACTATTTGCTTGTCCACATGTGTTTTTATTTCTCTATCTATTTGTATAAATATTTTACATTATATGTTTCGTTGTATGCGTTTAGTATTCGTTCCTCGATTCTACATATTTGATTTGATTTAACTACTATATGTACTAATATTTAGGTGTATATTTGTTTCTGTTTCTGCGTTGTTTTGCTACTGTTGCCAAGACTTTCTCTTTCTTAATAGTATTTTTTTTCTCTAAAAGATAAGATGATTTCAAAAAAAACCAAAATGCTAAGATTGTAATTTTAAAGGGTCTTTGCATCATTGTCGTGTCTTTGATTTTTTTACATTTCTCTTTGCTACATTAAATGTCACAGTAATAATGTGCACTGAAACGAATCGCACCTCGTCACAAGTTGTTGGTACTTACGCTTGATTGCTCGTTCAATTTATATAGTCTACATAATAATGGGGTGTAAAGTATTGTATGTGTTGCTTTTTCTCGCATCGCTTAAGATTTATATTACAAAGAGATTGTTCGAAGCCGGTTAAAACTGGTCTCAATTCGGACGTTCATTTAAAGCCTATATGGGAAATTTAATACACTTAAAATATATATGTGAGAAATGGATCTGTATATATTATTATTTTGATTTATGTTTACTGTATAGTATCTGAAAAATTACCAAAATGTTATGTGTAACATTTAGAATATCTTTCAGAAACTAAAATAAATAAAATCAAAATACAATTGGTCATAATGCGTTTTTAATTTGTCAAAACGTGTAATTATTGCAATTCGTTCAAGTCTATTTTAAATTTTTGGCTCGATTATAATTTTTGTAAATTAGGGTCCGATCTTGATGTTTTCGTGCAGTGTGTCCATTGAAAGCATGTAATGCCTTTGGATTTATTTATTTCTATATTGGATCATAAAAGAAACAATTTTGTATATAATTTTAAAACTGACTATCAAGTCTTAATAAAAGAATATTGAATTTAAGTTTAAAACTACGAATTACCAAATTTGGTTTCGTATTAGTAATTCCTCCAACAGAAAACGTATTCATCAGCTTTGGGAAAAAGGAAGAAAAAACTTGAAAATCCATTTAGTTCGCTTTGCAATTTAAAGTTATTAAAATAATTATTTGTTTAAAGAGTTCAGGAAAAAGTAGTGACTAATAATTAAGAGCAATGTTTAAAAAACCTCAACATCTTGCTGTAACTCTTGTAGAGAAGTTTGTATTAATTGCTGGGATTAGACTTCCTGTTTGGTATAATACGTTTGTATGTATGTATGTATGTACAAAACAACTTTTTCTTAAGCTTTTGCAGTTTTACGTTATATCATTTCTAATGTTCTATATTTATAAATTACTATAAAGCTACACTAGATTTAACTATTATTTTCTTTCCTAAAACATATTGTTTAATATTCGAGGTTTTTCTTTTGAAAACTTGCAAGTTTATAATTAATTAAACATTTGCTGTAGGGTATTCTTTGACTGACATTAGGTTTAAGTTGGCCATACTAACATCACAATAATGGGTATTTGAACAGAAATGTGTCTGGTAGAATATAGAAAAATAAATACAATTTTTTCATGGAGGGAAAATAGGTACACTGTTTGTGCTCCGTTAAACTCGTTGGCACTTGTCCAGAAATTTACTACGTACCTTTGCATTAAATGTATGTATGTATTTAAGTTCGAGTGCATTTTGTATATAAATATATATGTATGTATTTCATTTGTTTCATCGTCTTCATCTTTGCTTTCTTCTGTTTCAGTTTATTTTCTCTTTTTTTTTATTTAATTACATTAAACTGAACACACAGTTTTACTAACTTACATATCGCATGAATATCTACAAATTACATGCAGAAAATAAGAAATAATTTGTATCTATGTTTGTGTATGTTTGATCGTCTTTAACCCATTACATATATGTACATATTATCTACTATATACAAATATATTGTTTTACTGTGTTTCTTTTTTTTAGTTTGCGTTTTTTATTTATTTTTGTTGTTGTTGTCATTTAATTTTGTCTTTATTTTTACCTATTTACACAATAACATATTACTGTGGATATTCTTTGCATTTGTTGCAGTTGTTGTTGTTGGAGATAGAAATTGTTTAAAAGTTCAAATAACTTTATGCAAGCACACATATAGATAAAGACAGATGTACACTCAACTACTTATATTAAACTTTATACAAATGTTTGAATGTATATCTGAAATTGTTGCATTTCATTTGTTGCATTTTATTCTATGTATTAATTTTATTTTTGTCTTGCAAACATACGAAACTGCATGTTGTTTGACATTAAATAAAATTAAATTATCAATCAAGCACTTGAATTAAATTGTTATACAATTTATTTCACAATTTTACCATTACAAAAGGCAATAACAGTAAAATTAAATTGGTATTGAAATAAAAATATTGTGTAGACACTTTGCTAGGTTTGTCAGCAGTTACAGTTGTTGTAACAGTTCGACTGTGGCCGATAGTTCTTTCCTGAAATTTGAATAATAAAAACTTAATTATTTGAGTTTGTGTCTGTGGGTGGAAGGGAGAGCTTGATAAACTGCGCCACCTAAGTCGGTCTTAACCATAGGTCTATGGGGCGCAAATTTGTAGAATTAGCGGGACAATTGAATAAATGCACCGTGTCATGAGGTCTTGGATGACAGGCAGGGCAACGATTAAAAGTGACTGGAACGATACGTTCACGGTAGCAGTTGAGAAAACTGTACCAGCCGGCTCTTAATTGTGCCAAGATGGTTCTAGAATTCCTGTGTAATTGTCTATCACAATCCGATATCGCAGGTGGGGGTGTTCATGATCCACATACGAAGTGGATTATTCTGAGCCGTTTGTAAACCTCGCCATTGGGTATCACTGAGGAAAGAGGTTCATACTGGGGCAGCATAATTGAGAAGAGAGCCTTAAATGTCGCTACAATCGTCTCTTTATCCATACTCCAAGAGGTGCCAGCTAAATCTTTAAGGACCTTGTTTCTGTTTCGAACCTTTTGATTGATGTAGTCTGCGTGCCTTGCGAAGTGAATGAGGTTGTCAAAGACTACCCCTAATATTTTCGGGTTTTGAACTGTGGGGATAATACGTCCTTCGACGGAGCCCTTACTTTTTTGTTCCAAGAGGTGAAAAGTGATACCGAGGATTTAGAAGCAGATAACCTAAGTTTGCGTTCCAGAAAAAAGTCTGTAATGGTTGCCAAGTTACAGTATTTCATTGTAACTTCTGATTCTTCATTATAATCCTTTATAATGTTTATTTATTAAAAATATAATATAATTTCCCAGGAAAAATAGTTATAAAAAGCATAATTTTTGCTCGAATTTTAATCTACGAAACTGGTTCTGTGAAAGCGTTTTAGTGTCGAAATTCATTCTATGTAACTATTCTGAAAGCCCTTCTTTAATCAATATTTTATGTTCAAATTTGTCAGAACTCAGAACTACATAGTTCGAGGGAAGATTTAAAGACCAAAAACATCAAACTGTTGAAAGATTTTAATTATTTAAATTTTGATTTATTTGAATTGCGTTTAAAATCAAACAAGTATATCTACACACATAGATATGTATATTTATTCTAGGATTTCTTTGCAGTTTGTAATATTGCAAACATTCTAAAGTTTTGTTTTTGTTTTTCTTTTTTACAGGGTATCATTTGGTTCCTCCAAAGGCTCCATGGTTGAGACATTGGTATTTGAAACGCCAACACCATTGTCTGAACATGTGGAGCCGAATTTTGGATTTGGATCTGACACAGACTACAAAGCAAATATGGATGATAGTGGAATAGAGGTTCAAGAAGAGTAAGTAAAAGAATTAAATCAAATCAGCATTTTTGAAATATTATAAAAACTAGCAACAATATGAACAGATAAAAGTTTTATTTCACGATATATTTGCTTTAAAAAAATTCCACTTAATTTTTCAATTTAATACAAATTTTAAAGTTTATAAGTAATAACTTTATTTGCTTTTAATTTACTTTGAGTATAAACATATGTGTACAATTTATAAGTATTTTTTTGAGCCTAACCAGGCAAGCTAATTACTCAATAATACTGTTTAAGATGGCGGCAGAAAGAATTGATTAGACAATTCACTGACGGACTTTGGAAAATCACTTTTACTCCATGTAAAGTTTAGAGAAATATCATTCTTTATCCTGTTTACAGAGCCCCCCCGCGGGCATGTTTCCTTGATGATAGATCCCATCTTGGTGTTTTGTAATCCGGGGGTATAGAGGTGCTACCAGTACCTCTAGTCTGCCGGAACTATAAACTGGTGATGTCACTTCACTCCTCGGCTTGTTCTTGGTATGATTTGACAGAACCACATAATCTGGGAACTGACCAACTCTGGTGGCCAGTTGCACGCCTGGCTGGTCAGTTGGTTGAGGTTCCTTCGGGATCCACGTAGTGGCTGTAGTTTAAACCCAAATTCGCGGGAAGAGTAAGTGGCGGTTAAAGGACTGGTGTAAGGTAAAGTCAATATTTCGGGATGAGTTCGGTGCTGTTGCCGAAACTACGCCTGGCTGGTCAGTTGGTTGAGGTTCCTTCGGGATCCACGTAGTGGCTGTAGTTTAAACCCAAATTCGCGGGAAGAGTAAGTGGCGGTTAAAGGACTGGTGTAAGGTAAAGTCAATATTTCGGGATGAGTTCGGTGCTGTTGCCGAAACTACAGATACCCCACAGAGGAGTGACTGTGGGACTAAGCGTTGGGAATGAGTTGGTGTTAATTGTATATGGTACGGGATGAATGTGGGGTATGCGGGCCTCACACACCCGTTTACCTAGAATAAGTGTGTCGTATGTTTTTCTCTTATGAATGTGTCGGATGAATGAGAAGTGTGCTGGATTGTATGATGATGGATGAAAGGTATCATATAGAAATGATACCATTGAATTTTCCTTCCTTGTCCAGATATGTTCAGAGTAAACTCTGTTCATATCAGAATTACCACAGTGTGTCACTGTGAGTAAGAACAAAGTCTAGGCTTATTTGATGGATTCGTACTTCGGTCTACCGGTTACGTCTGCGGTTACGGTGTTGTTGCCGAATCAACAGAGGCCATCCCATCTGCGTGGTTGTAAATGGAAGAGATGTTTTACAGCTCGGAATTTAAACAACGGGGCAGCAATGGTCAGAGATTAGATAGCTCGAACACTTGAGCAAAGTGCTTGTACATGGACCGGCTTTAGCCATGTACAGAAATTGCCACCTGATTTCTTCATTGAAGATTGAAGGGGCGGTGGTGAGTCGTCACAAAGCTCACCCGGTGGTTGAAAAAGACCACCATGAGATAGGCCAACACGGCAGGTACTCCATAAAGCACTTCGACTTCAATCCTGTTTACAGACATTGGACATAATAAAACACTGTAATAGTAGGGCTCATTTACTACAAGAATGGTATAATTCAAAAAAAGGTAGTTTCGAGAAAAACTGCTTGGAATGCTTTATGGCATTTTAAAATTTCTTAAATAACTTTTAAACAAATAATGGAATTTGAAATATAACCAGACTTAGGTAGTAAAGGTTAATATGTTATTCATGTAAATTTAAATTAAAGTAAAAATTAAACATTAGTTAGTTGAGATATGCATATGGTTTGTTAAAAATCTCAAATTTTGAATTATTTCAGTTTTGTATTCAATAAGACTTTATTTGAAGTATATTGTATACACGCTACGTACATATATAAATTAATTCTAATAAATTCCCTCCTTATAAGTAATAATAAATATCTCCAAAAGGATTAAAAACTTAAAAATAGATAAAAGTTTTTAAAAAAACATGATAAACAGACAATTGTATACAACTTTTTATTTTTAATTTATTTTTTTTCGATTGCAGATTATTTATAGATTTATTTAAAAATCTTGTTTTTAATTAAAATACAATTTTTATTAGTAATTGATTGGTTAAAAGCGGTTTGGCAAAATACAAAAAATATGTGTTTTTTAATTAAACTCATGTGTATATAACTCATTGATTGTATATTTACGTAGATAAACACATATTAAATTCGATATATTCGTTTTGCCGAAAGAACGTAATAAATAAGTTTGTGTATTTTATTTTGTCTCAACTTTCCACTTTTGTATAATACAGTAGGTAATCTTAAACTTTTCACAATTTCCATTGATGTCTGATATAAGTTAATAATTTAAATCAATGCTAATATTTCTTTTCTTTTTCGTGCTTTAATGTATTAAAATTAAGATTTATTATGTGTGCTAATAATATAAGGAGCGGACTTTATCGATACCACAAATGTAATAGCTTTTTTATAATCTTACGACACAAGCCTATTTTTATTATCAATTAATGCATTATGACGTTATTGTTTTAACCATTCGATGTCTGTATGTTTAATGCGTTTAAATTAAATTTAAAATATCAGTGATAGCAAATATAGTTTCGATATTAAATTTTGTTAAAAATGTAAGATTTTTTTATGTATTTTTCAGGCAGAAGTATAAAAATTAATCTATTTGAATTTAGCATTTTAGAATATCTGACGAGATATATTTGAATATATAATTATAGTCAGTAGTTGGGCATACTAGATCGACAATGGTCTGGGAATACGGAGTTTCTTATACTTTGGGAGTAGAATCATTTTGCCTGATATAGATTTGCTATTTTTCCTTATGTTGTATACATGCGCACTGTCTATAATACTATATCTGTCACAACTGTGGCTTCCTGTCCTATTTTCCTGACACTAATTTTTATAATTGGAATTAATAAGTTAAGAAACATATGGATCTTTTTAATACATTCTTTAGAGTCAAATTGAAATTGCTAATAATTTTTTTGTGTTAGGGTTTTAAGGGTAATTTTTATACCCAAGTCCGGCAGGACGAGTCACCAAAACTCGAAGTATTTAGAAGTATTAGCTTATCATTATTTGTACTGAAGACACTTGAGAGACTGATAGATCTCTAAGAGTTAACATTTATACTCGCCTCATCAGCAGTGCTCAACAGGCCTACCTTAAAGGTAAATTCGATGCAATTAGCCGCGGTTTTTGATATTGAGGAAGAAATTAATAATAAAAGATTGAGGCTTGTAGAGCTAGGAGTTCAAGACTTCCTGGTGATGTGTATAGTTTGCATGCTTACTAGCAGAAGACTTATCGCCTCTTCTGCGACTACTAGCGGCTAACACCATTCTATGGATTTTTGAATCTAAAGATCGTTGCCTATGAAGATAAAGTAGCGTTAGTATTAAAACAAAATTACTGATCTACGATCTGTGATATTAAGGTAGATAACTTCATTCTTATACATAAATGTTTTGTTTGATAAGAGTCTTAAAGAACGAAAAGGTATAGAAAGACGCAAGACCGGCAAGAGGTTGTAAGATGGATACTACATCTACATTGCTAATTCATAAATAAAAAAGTCCTACAGACTTTCGGAGGAATAGTGTAGTATCTTCCATGAGGAGTTCTTAGCAATCTGGAAAACGACGGAACTGATTCGAAATCACATTGATCTGTGGTGTGTGGTCAGTCGATAGTCAGGCTACACATAAAGCATTAATATCACATACGATGCATTCTTTCATAGTCGTAGATTATGAAGAAATTCTCTAAGTGTTATTATGATACTGTTTGCAATAAGGCTATGTGGGGTACCAACATACTGCAATGAACCAGGTAATGAGAAAGCTGAAGAACTGCCTAGATTTGATTTGAATCTTGACTCACAAGGAAGGATCAGGAGGTTAAGACCATGCATTTGTTACTTTTATGAGTTGATATCAGTTCTGGAATAGTAAAATGGATTGCACAGTATTGCTGATGCGAAAGCAAATTGGATACATATTGGACTAAATAGATGTAGTTTTATGACTCTCACAGGTATAATAATATCACATTGTTCTATTAGGGCTTTCGTCAGTAAGAGGGACAACACTATACCAACACTATTACGAAAGTATGTCGAGGAACGAGAGACAGTTGATCACATCATCTTCCACTGTCCTAGAATACAGGTTAATTCCCTTGGGCCTCAGTCTAGTGCCATCCTTACTCTTTTTCTGGTTTTCTTAATTAAGGAATCTCAATGGACATCGGATTACATTTACTTTTAAGAATTAAGTTTATTCTCCTGGGCCGCAGTCTAGTGCCAGTTCATTCTCTTTTTCTGTTTTTCTTTATTATTCTCTATTCATGGTATTTTATATTCTCTGAAAGGTATCACAATGCGGTCTTTCGTCACTCCATATTTTAACGTTCTTTTTTGGGGTTCGGACGAAATAGGATTTTGAAGGATTAAAAATTAAGAGCAATTTATACATTTTAAGAATTAGATAAATGTTAAAAAAGACTCAATAAAATACTAATATATTGGAATAGGAGATCAACATTGCTCTAGTTACAAATAAATAAAGTTGGCGCTTTTTACTGTTTCAAACCTGTTACCAAACATGCTTTATTCTATATTGTCTTATTATTAAAATATATTTAAATTATAAAAAGTCTGAAATATTTTAAATTTTGTTCATATTCTTCTATATTCTGCAATAAAATAATTTTAATACTTGTTTATAATTTAAAAAACCACAATAATTCATTGTCCCAATATAATTGTTCTTACTGTATGATGTGTATAAAAACCTATTAAATTTAATTATACAATTTTAAAAACCTTGAATTTATCCGGTTACGCGTATTACTCTCTTTTGTTTGGTACAAGTCATTTTTTTAATGTTTTTAATTTTTGAAATAATAACAAAAAAACAAAAATTATGGCATTTTTTCTTCTTCTATAATATATAAATTGTTTAAAACA